CACACACACACACACACACACACATACGCACCGGCGGAACAGACACGGAAAAATTATGTGATGAACTAGAATCATGTAATACAAAATTATTCCAACAGAGAAAATTGAAACCATTTTCAACTGAACCGGAATTGGTTTAACAAAAATGCACATCAAACCACAGGTGGGAAATGCACGCTTTCTCCGTCAAATAGTCAGTCCAAGCTTCCCATCGAAAAATGCACCTCGGATGAGCGAATAAAAGGGCATTTCTAGAATGGATTTTACTTACACTCGGACTGGTTCTATTAAAACAATAATACGGATATATTCCGTAGTGATAGATAAAACCTCTGATATGGTAAAGTTTCGTTTTCATTTGCCCTCGTCCGACTTCCACTTTGGGCTCCAATAAATTGTGGCATTTATCAGCGGTCAGACCATCTCAAACCGCTTCAGAGGCGGAATAAATCAGGTTAAAGGTAACTGAGATTTAAAACCATCCGCGAGACGATATGCCACACCTGATGATACCTAGCTTACAGTGGGCGAGAGTGCGCTACTACGAGATACAATGAGTACAAAGAAATGCTATGAAATGAAACGAAGATTTACGGATTCACGATTAGCCCCCACATAGTTTGGCCAACGAATGAGCTCGTACAAAGCCACCGATAACCAAGTGCCATTACACTGTTGCCTTGTGGTGCGCGTTTCCTTGTGTAAACATTAAAGGTGCACCCTGGAAAAATATGGGTAACCTCAGGGACTCTTATCGTAATCGCTTTCCATGAAATTTCATGATTTTTCTCAATTTTCTCATCCTCCCCATTTGAAATAGTTCATGATAAAATGTTATATGCAAACTGGGCGTTGTGTTGGGAATGGTATGGTAGGCATAATTATTTCTGAAATCTGCGGTGATCTGTAAACATTGATATGTTCACCGAAACCTGGGGCTTTGTGATGATTCCTTCAGGTAACTTGTTACATCAAATCAACACAGCGTAAAAAGCAGAAAACGTTTGTTTGTGCAAAACACGGTCAGTAGAGCTATCCACTGGGTTCGTCATTGAAAACTTTGCGTGACATCCTCTGATTGAGATCTTTCAGACGAATATTTTTTCTGATCCGTGATAAACGTCACTACAAAAGTAAAATTGATGAAATTGTTTAAAAGCAAATAAGATCGATCAGTCTAGTTTGAAAGTGATCTCTAAATTCTCTAACTGGAAACATAATTTGAATGTCGAACTTAAAGTGGATACCATATAAAAAGTATACCAAACTGAATCTTACGCATCCACATAGTTCATAAGACAATACTTGAAATTGTCCCTAGAAGTTTCACTAATTTTTATTGCATTAAGTTTTAGATGAATAGTACCTCTATTCTCATTACCCCAAAACAGTGTTCAGTTACCTGCGGCATAGGTTTGCGTGTCCGACAAGTTGATTGCCGCTTCCCGAATGGCACCCGATACGACGCGCACGAGGTCAGTTCAAATCGCTTCCGTTTAGACCAGTCACGGTATCCGGTGGAACGATTCGAACGCGCTCTAGATGAACTGACACATGTGGTTGAGACCAGATCACCTACTTCCTACTGCACCTCTCCTCGTCCGGTGGATTCGTCCAGCTGTAAGACACGCCCATGTACACAAAACCAACCGTTTTGGTGGTCTCTAATGGTGTCTCAAGTAAGTAAAGCGCACCGTTCGACTATCAAGTATTAGCACAGTTACAGTAATCTGATTCGGCAAGCAAATGGCATTGATTTAGCATTTCATTTAATTATTTGGAGTACATTAATTGATTGCAGCTAGTTTTTTCTCAGTTTACTTCGTATAATTACACATTTTTTAAAATCCGTTAGTTCCCTTACCAAGAACGTTTGTCGAACTAAACCGAGTAGTCGACAAACTAGTTGTACGATTCTGTTGTGGGGCTACAGAATCATTGATTTTCGTGCGATATCGACCTGCTGCAGAAAATTATACTTCGGTGAAAAAAGCTACCTGATTCAATTCATCTTTTCTCCGTTCAGAATCTCAAAATATAATTTTCCTGTGTATTTTCTTCTGCCGCATTCAGTGCGGAAGTGAAACGTGTGAAGTTGGTCGTCGACACAGAGTCATCCGTTGCCTCAGCGCTCAACACGGACCTATTGATGAATCATCTTGTCGCTTCCTTGAGAAACCGACTGACTGGATTCCATGTGTGCCATTCCAATGTAAACAGTTTGAGTGGAGAGAAGAACGCTGGAATCCGGTAAGTGCATGTTGAAATGACAAGCACTCACACTTCAGTCAATCAGTTCATCAATCAAAGTATCTACCCCGGACTGCATGAACGTCCTCCTTCTGAGTCAGTTCGTCTAACCTAAAGTTAAACGGGGTTATGGTTACGCTTGTCTGGTTTATTAGGTGTAAACCAATATATTTAAACTTTAAACGTCTACATTCTTTATTTTCGTTCAGGGTATGTGGTATCGTGTGTGCTTTCCCATGAAGTAATGGGCAAATATTTCGTTTCGTCCAAACAGTATACTATTCTTTTCGTTTTACTTCCTTTTAGTGAATATAAAAAGATATCATTTTCTGGAAGGGGGAAGCGGCCAATCAAAGAGTTGCCATTCAACACGCACAATGGGGAAAGTCAGGCGATGGTGGTGGTGAGATTTCAACACACATCCCCAGGGTGATAATTTGGTGATCTTACCACCTGGCCACCACCACCCGGGATAATCGTAAATGATTACACTTGTTTTGGTGATGGGAACTTGGTTTGGCAGAGCCGCTTTTTTGTAGTTTGTTCGACAGTCATCCAATTGTAGTTTGGCAAACCATTTGGTGCACAAGAAGACTCAAAACCAATCCAGCACATTGAATCCTATCGTGGGTAAATTAATTTGTCGACTGTTTTTAAACACGTATAAATGAATGTTTTCTCACTGAATACCCAGCCTACTGCCGTTAATGATGAATAAAGGTTCAGTAGAGAGTAAGGTGGGTTGCCGCTAGTTCATAAAAACGCTTCTTTATTCGATTATTTATCTCTCGTGACTGAGAGAGTGTGAGAGAGCTTAGAAGATGAGAATAAATTTATCTCTACCAAAACATATATGTATTTAATAACCCTGATTTATTGAAGGACAAATGGCAAACATTAGAAACCGGTTGGCTTACTAGTCTCTGATGGCAAGTGGCGTTTGAAATGAAACGGTAAATATCAACATTCATTTTGGGGCAGCCAAATACGGAACGTCCAAAAGCTTCACATTCACCAACGAATTAATGTTTAACCGAAGATGACAGACAGAGTTTCGCATAGGTATGTGGTCAAGATCGAATTGGTTCAAAGTATTTTGTCCATAACTTTGTCTCGTCCTAGGATACCGTAGCTAACAAAGATTTGATTCATGGTAAATTTATTCATGGGAGAGAACGACTGGGTACAGAAAACGAACTGTTGAAAACTTCCAGTTTACTTTCATATAAACAATCAATTTACATAAATCACTACACGTACGATTGTTTTGAAGAAATAATTAGATGCTCTCGAGGTGTTTGTTATCTTATCACATTTTTAAAAGATACTTACTTACGTTGCAGTTGTGAAAATATTGAACGTCTCAGTGAGATCTGAATCTATGTTTTAACGTCTCCCAATATCTTATACAGAGTGCGCTGTATCAGCCGAGCTATGAAGTGACATTGACATTGCTGATTGGTTCAGAGTTTGTAGCTCATCTTACCTGCAGATATACGGATTCCGCTAATATTGTTTATCAAGGTACAACTTACGTTTCAAAGTGAAACGTACGACTGCTGCATCTAAGCAGTGTCGCCACATTCAACAAACATCTTTTCCGTTAAATACCTCTGATTGTCTTCATTGGGCGTGAACTTTCTGACCACAGTTCCTAAAATTATTTGGAAATATTTTTTAAAATCACCAGTGTCTTGAATCATGGACTGAAATCCGTTCATTTTATCGGTAAAGAGAGAATACCGGAACTTCGAGGCGTTGGCACAATTTATAAAACGTTCATATTCCTTTCCGAAAGCAATTATTGGACGTAAGCCAAGAATGTACTAACTTCTTGTAATATTTGTCACCTCTTTGTACTTTCCGCATGTCAATTTATTGCTTTGTGTGTGACGGAGGCTAAGAAACAACAGCTTTAAAGGAATTATTCCCGAAGTTCTGTTCGACTCTAAAATGGTTTTATATTGCGACGCCACCATGGTATTGATTTTAGCAATCAGAAAAAGGTCAATGTGTCATTGCGTGGCCAGTAAAATTCTCGTGAATATTAAGTTCGGGTTTATGCGTAGTGCGTACTCATTTATTTACTATTCAGTCTAGCCTGATATCCACTCGAGATTTACCGGTAACAATTACTATTCACAGATTATCTGAATTCGTCTCTTATCTCAACAAAATACAGTCCATCATAAAGAGCCAGACTTATAAAGCTCGGGAGATATTTTGCATTATGATAGCAATATGTGTACAAAAAATACTATTTGAGCTGAAAATGCTTTCGGGTTTATGCTTCAGTGCCCCCGGGAGTGCGGGGTTCGGATGCGATATCGCAGAGTGCATTGTGTGGATCATTTGGGAGAAGAGTACTCGGATTCTCTGTGTCCGGCCCACTTGAAACCAGATAATTGGCGCGTGTGTCCGGATCGTTGTTCATGTGAGTAACATGCATTTGTTTCTATATTTCATATACACACTACAAATGTATTGAGCATTTTCTATTATGATGAACCTCAAGATGTACATATACTCCATGCAAACTGCACATTTAATTCAGGAGTCCTTTTGCCTTCCAATCGGCATTTTGAGGTGCTATTCTTCGAAATGATGCTATCTTTATACACCTTCATCTCTTCTCTCGAAATTCTGACCTCTTTACAAACTTGTTTTCAGATATTTCCTACGAATCTTCGGCCTACACCTCATAAATGAATTATTACTCAGGTTATATCAACTGAGTTATACCTAAATAAACTCAGATAATAATTTTGTTACCATAGTGCCGTTTTCGTTTCTCAATGGAACGGAGCATATTGATCAGAAGCACTGGTTAAAAAATGATCCCTGTTGGGCAGTAAGGCCGTTTTTCTCTGTCAGTCAGATTTTTTCAATCAAACATTATCCTTTATTGGTGATACACTTGTAGCTAGTTAGGTACGTTGATGGTTGGATGTAGGCTTCTGATCGGTCTAACGCGGTGAGTTGTTTGGACAGTTCGCTGTTGAATGGAGCGAAAAAGTTAACAGTAACCGGATGCTGACAGCATGCCACGTCAACCAACTGCTAATGGATGTGATTAGCGTTTTGAGTGAGATTATTTCCAAGAGTGCATAACAGATTGTCCTATTCATCAGTGGAAATTGCGCGGAATGAAACGAGTTGGCCTTTGATTTATAATTTATATGAGATCTTCTCAAACCTAGGTGCGATTGTACAATAAATACGAAACAACTGAATATATTAACTGATAATTATTATTTAATTAATAAACCACGTTGGTTATCTAGAAGTTTAATACGAAGTGTGTATTCTGTTATTTTTCTTGTTGAAATTAAACTCTTTTGAAAAGGGACTTAAATTCTGCAGTTGCTCCAGTTGGTCCAGGCAGTATTATTTTAGCTTCAGTTGAACGGCACTCCAAGGACATCGAGCTGTTCAATCATGTGAACATTTGTACGTGATTCCTCTCTAGACGTTTTCATTTACGACACAACGATATCGACAAATTTAGTCTTTAGGCTTAAAGCATTTGAAATGTGAGGCTTGGTTTGCCAACGAAAGGAGACCTTCAAGTGAAAATACTTATGTATCTCTTTGAATGGATGTATATTCGATATTCAACAACAAGGGAGAACGCAGGCCTCTTCTTTGACCAGTCAGATATTGGTAATCATTAAGCTAACACCGCTCCATGGGACGGTTGTAATGTGATTTTGTGCTCTATTCGGAATCGTCTATTGCGTATCACGAGTTTGACCAGCTTCAATGGGTTTCTCGATCTCTATTAGCTGATAACCATGCAGGCATTTATTCTGAGTGGAACATTGAGAACGAACTGAAAAATAAAATTGTACTGAAGCGCATTCAACTGCATTCCAACTGTGTATAAGAACCATGTACGCTTAACATAATACTATAATACTATAATAATATAGTGTTTTCAACCAAGGTTAGCAATCAGTGATTCTTACCAAATAACCCAAACTGTGATAATAACACCAGACAGTTTACTTCTTTCCCCTGTTCAATCAATTGACATATATATATACATATATTCACAAAGAAAGTGTGTCACAGGTTTATCAACACTCACTGAGAAAAATCTCTAGCAGATGTGTGTCGCTGCATATCACATATGTTAGAAAATGGAACATTTATTTTGTACATTGAATCCTTATCTAGATATGCATGCTTGACTCACTATTTGATCGTGCATAGTGCCAGCATTATCTCCCCTCACAAGTGTTATCTTAACCAACACAAAGTAGATATTGGCTCACTGATCCCGTTGTCTTCGTTCACAAGATCTCATGGGATCATCTGAACAACAATAACGACAACAAAAACAACTGTAATGCCAGTTCTTTGAACCAGAATTATTCCATATGCACTCCGTCTCGAATACGTTTGCATATCTTTTACTGAACACCATTGGCATTATCCACACTGTGATTACCATCAATGTCACCACCACCTATTTTCTCCTTGGATTTATCAGCATTACCAAAAAGTTGCACCGAAGTGAAACAACGTTATCCGGGTGCCTTGGATGGCACGTATCAGATCCTGTTGGATTATGCTCCCATTTCGGTGAGATGAATATATACGAACTATTGGTTATTTATACAGTTCTTTGAGTTGCTCTTTCTATATTTGTTTACCTGACGATTGTGGGGAACAATAAACATGGTCCCACTAAGCTTAAATTATTGTTTTCACTTCTTTGCCAGCTGTACACACTGATGCGTAACTTGTTCTACTGTGACCTACGCACATAGTTTTTGTTTGTATTGGCAGAATTCCATTAGTAGGGATTATATAAGGTGTATAAGTTGAACACTGATAGTGAAGATAATTTTGAATGAAGAAAATAAATAATATAGTTTTGCTTGTCCGGAATTTGATTCAAACGCTGATTGCTAGAGGAACAAGGGATCCGATGTAGACTGTTAAATACAAAACTGAATGGGGATTCTATCTTTTCGATGAATGTTAACTGGACCGGCTATTTAGTTACAGAAACTGAGAGTAGCGTAGTCAGATAAAAAACAATAGGTGAATAACACTTTGGTGAATCGTTGAAGATTTTGATCTTTTGTTTCGTTTTTCAGGGTCACAAATAGCGGTTTTTTCTTGGATCCCGCTGCTAAATTTTTAACTGCTCATCATTTTCCCTGACCTACCAAGTAGAGCGTTTATTATCAAACATGGATACGAAAGTGAAAGACATCAAGGCTTTTTACTGTTATGGTCTTATCGTTGATAGCTTACCCGATTTCGTTTTTTCAGATTAGAACAAACAATGAATGCGCTGCTTACTAAATTGCATGTTAGTGTATCTCCAGAGTATACTATGGCATATACCACTACAGTTTGCATTTCACCACCGGGTGGACACTCATTAAACGGCTACTTCTAAATACTTGATGCTTATTTTCATGAAAAAGTTTATTGGTTTTTGAGTCTTTTACTATAAATTGGAATTGGTTCAATCATCTGTTATCCTTGCTATAACAACTTTACGTTTGGTGTCATTGACTTCCGTAATTAGCCCATTACTCCATACGGAATCAAAAGATCGTCTGTTGTCTGTGCGCATATCATCAGTAACTTGATTTGTCTTAATCTGTTGCACAGCAGCAAGTCTATTGCTCGTGTTTTTCTTGTCTATCCGGAAATCGAATCGGTTGGATTTTGTTGTTTACAGGTTCACTGTGCCAATATGGAAACCGCCACACCGTCAGAATACATTATTTTGACAAAAGTGAATTATGCGAGAACGGCGGCTTTCATGCAACCGTAAGTGCTCTGTTTCTTCCATATAATGTTTTTGCCGATCAGCCGGGGGCCTATCAGTTTCACCACCATACCAGCGAAATAACTCCTTATTGTCTTCGAACTGTAGACAGAGAGAGGAATGTGAACACTTGTTTCGCCAACATACACATCTCGCTGAATGACCCCGATACATTTATGCATCGAACTGGTCTCATAATCGATTGATGGGTGTTCTTTATTTCCTCAGCCCTACGGAGTAGCGTAAAACAACAAGGCTGGAAACTATCTAAGCCACATCGTAATGGAGAGTAAATTAATTAAATAATAGCTAAAAGTCAATGCCCAAATGCTTTCTAAACTGTATTCAACTGCAATCAAACAATAACTTCTCAGGTGTGTTTGAAGGTAACTTGTTCATTTGAAGCAAAAATAACAATCTATGAGAAATATTTGGAGTAGTTGAATCAGTGTGACAGTGTAAAACAGCCAAGTCTACTTCCTCAAAAATACCACATGCACAAGTGGTAATACTCAGACTACTTATAAAGAAGTATTTGCTTCCTCTTAATCCTTTTTCCGTGGAAAATAGAGTCTTGTGATAGTTGTGCAAACTCTTGTTTAGACAAAGCGATTCTGAAGATACACTCGAATAGCTATATCTAGGTTTTCACATCAGAACTGACACCCTAGTTTGTTTTGGTGTTGGCTTTAGGTGTGGTGTAGTTATTCCGTTATTTACTGTGTTTGTCCAAAACAGATGGAATGGAGGTTTAAACGTTTTACTCGCTCCAGACTCTGGTATTCGTAGGGGGAAATATGATCATCGGATTAGTACATCGTTACAACAGTCGTTCTATTAAATATGTGCCATTTTATCAAAAACTCCTCTCCCCGTACCACTACATTAGTTTTCTCTATTGGAAGAAGTAGCAGAGTATTTTTGTCAGTTTAATCTGACCGCGGAGTATCAGGATGGTGACTTTTTAGTAACTCTTACTCGCCCTCTTCCCTTGGGTGTTTTGTATTTTACAGAACGGTATAATTTTCGTAGTAGATAGCTCCATGTATATCATGATTTTATGCTTGTTTCAATGTAAATCATCCCGCTGAGCATTATTTCTTAAATTTTCTTTTTTTTTCTTTTCATCAAACTAAACTCTTTTTGTGGTTTTGGTTATTTACAATTCAGAACATCGTCATCCGACTACTGTCCATACACAGTTCAATTTGCCGGCTACACGTCCGGTCGAAAATCACCATCAGGTGTTCCAATGTCTGTCGATACGACAAACGAAGTGCACAAGCGTCAGCTAACCACGCAAGAGGTGTCTGCGGCCAACTGTCCAGAATGCCCGTTTGTTCCGAATCTGGCCAGTGCCACCTATTACCAGAAACTGCGACTGGACGTGAATACTATGCGCGTTGACAGTAAGTATCTGCAACCAAAAACGAAAGCAAAAAGGGATAAGAACAACTCTTTAAAGTGTATACTCATACGAATCTTACTAATTTACGTATCCCTAAACTTGACTCATCAGCCCCAAAATACGCATTTTGAGTCTCAAATAAGGTCGTTTTCGATGATAATTTACCATGTGAATACACCCTATGCATAATAATGTAAAAAAATGCTTTTTAAAAGGGGAAATTTACACCTCAGAGTCCCCGGGGTTCATTGCATCTTGAAACCTAATGAAGAATTGCAGTTTTCACCCAATTATTTGTTCTTCCATTCGATTATCAGCATCGCTCATTATGGTAACCAGGTGAAATTAGATACACAGGGGAGGTTGAGCCAACAATTTCCTACCACTTTTGCTACTGCTAACATACAACAGTGAACTTGTCCCGATAGGCGGTAGTCAGAAATTGGTGCTCTCTCCAAAAACAATTGCAAATCACTGGAAATATAATCGCTTCCAACTGTGTGTTCCACTCTGCATTAGTTTAGTAGTTGCTTCCAAGCTGAATTCGTCCATAACAAACCTGTAACACGCATAGAATCTTAACCTTCGAAAATAATGCAAACTTAGGAAATCTCAATAGACACATGAACAGCAATGAATAATTTACAAATATAATTTTTAGGTTTGTGATTGTATGATAGTAACTTGCGACAATAGGGTAAGCTTTTGGTTCAAAAAGTAGATTTGAATGGTAACCAACATCAGCTGTTTGCTCCATTGTGAATCCATTATCTCTAAACCAGGTACTTCATTACCGCCTAAGTATCTGGAGATGCTCCGTGGGACTTTGCATGCTTTTACAATGTTTCTGAGCGTACAGTCAAGGTTTGTTGCAGACAGGTGCCATTCTTTACCGCTGTATACCGAGAATCATCAACCGATGTAGTTTTGCCCATTTCTAGGGAACTGAACACCGTGCTGATGTAATAAATGTCAATATGGCATAAAAAACGCAATTTCTTTGGAATAAATGTCTTCCCTATATCACTGCTAACCGCGTACGACAAATGACGCCGTTTGTGAGCTCCAGATAGTCACGGCTGTGCGATTCCATCGATGTGGTTGAAAATTTCCTAGCGGATTCAAACAAATCTAATGGAAATTTACAGATCATGCCTCATGAAAATCCTTTGTGAACTGCACTCAAATCCAAATTAAATTCATTTATGTATAAATGTACTGTCTGTGTTGGCTGCTAAAATTACAATCAATAGTAGGCATTTAAATCTGTTACCTCAGACGTTTAAAATCCATCAGGGTTGAATTACATGGTCCTTTTTTATCAAAATTCCTAAACTATGGTCTAACATAGTCCGGTATTTTGGCTGTTCTAAATATCTGCAACCCTCCTGACATGAAAGTATTGATTTCATGCTCTGAGACCGCACAGAGTGAAATTTCTCATATTATCAAAATATACTAACCGTTGGTATTTACTCCAGAGTTCTTGATCTTTGGTTTAACGGCGTGAATTTGGACCCCAGTTATTGTATATCTACCTGCAGCGTGTGTCTGCTCAATCTCGAGTCTTCAGTTTTCAGCTATTGGAACATTCTAATTATTCTGCCCATACAATTCACGCGTCACCTGTTGAACACCCTTTGGCAGCCCCTAACAATCTTTTGGGAGATCAGTTCCTCTGAAATCGGTTTAGCTACATTTTGCTGCAACCAATTGTTTTTTCTCTCGTACTTGTATTGTGGAGTCAAGCAAAATACTACTTGTAAATGAAGCTTTAGCGCATTTGGTGGAGACTTCAGATATCTCCTTTAGTCAGTATAAAATAGCCCGCCTGATTTGTGAAGACAACTGTCACACGAGTAACCTAACTGGGTTGACCGGTTTGTACATTCGATAAATAACAATCCGGTTCTATATGACCACGATTGCCTGTTCCCATGTTTGACAACATTATCAAAAGTTACTCCAGGAGTTTTCCAGTAAATGAGTGAAGAGATGAGAGATTCGCAAATTGCAGCCTCACAAAATCAACTCATTACTGTGAAAATTTTGTTTTCTTTCAGAAGCTGTCATCTCAGTCAGTATAATTTGATCGGGTTCTGTGATTTATCTCTGATTGAAAGTTGTGTCCGCTCATGACTGAGTACGACTCATCATCGTCCCACGGACACTTTCACGTTTCACAATTTGTAAAGAATTCTGACTCCGAGGGGTAAGATTCAACAGATCACTAAAAAGTAAAACCACTGGAGGCATAACCGCAAAGCGGTTGTTTCCTCTAGAACAGTACTTTGGTAGCTGCTACATGTAGGTAACCATGCTTTTGTATCTATACCAAGAAAAACAGAAAAGTGAGATACTTGTTGCTTTTCTATTATCAATAGCTATTCATTAATTTTTCTGTTGGTTTAACTAAACTGCTCTTCCTTATAAAGAAGAACTTGTTTGTCTTCTTTGCTACGCTCTAACGGCAATCTTGGTTCACTCGAGTTTCATCGCAAATCATACCTGGAATAGGGCCGGTTGTTTACTTCGTAATGGTGTACAAGACTGATGGGTATCAACACAATAGCATTAGTCAATTTTTCATACTACAGACTGAATGAATGCGTTCCGACAGTTTGCCTGTTGTTCTTGTTGTTGCTATTATTATTATTTTTCCACCGCATGCGTCCAAATTCTCTTGCAGGTTAAAACATAACTAAAGAACAGACATCACCCTGGCCATTGCTAGAGCGAAATGAGTGACGGGATGATTGAATGGTTGAAGGAGGGTAGATGCCCATTGCCAGTACGATGCATAATATGTTGCGTGTTATTTGCCCAATCAGAATGGAGCAGATGTCTTCAATGAAGGTTTCCCTCCGGTCGATTAATGACTTGAGTTATCTTTACGAATTCCAACTGACTCGTAATGACTCTTTACCTTGTACGTTGTTTTTGGTTTCGAGAAGATTCTTTATAAACAGAATGTGGATTTCAGTTTAAAGTACATATGAGTGAGTTTTTGATGAAAACCATTCTTTTAATTTGATCAAAAGTTGTATTTCAAGTGGTGAGGACGATTCCTCAAATGTCGTATACAAATTAAAGTGCCGAGACTGCGACAAAAGCTACGTGGGACAAACCGACAGAAAGCTCAAGTCACGACTCCACGAACACACACTGGCGGTCAGACGACACGAGGAGAAGTCACAAATTTCAATCCACATGGATTCTGAGAATCATCTCTTGGAACTGGACAAAGCAAGAATAATCGGAAGAGCACCCCCAAAGTTAAAACGGGAATTCAACGAAGCATGGCACTCCAGAACAGATAGTATAAATAAACATATAGAACTAGAACCTACTTAAGGAAGCACTGGTAACCCGAGGGTGCCCCAGCTAGAACCGGTCCAAAAGCAGTTTAAAGCAGTTTGGAACCGGTTCAAAACCGGTTCGTGGCTGCTCTAGCAAAGCTAGTCGACCAATGAGAGAAAGGATCATTACCATGACAACGGAACAGCCAATCACATCACAGCGAACAGTTGCTATTAATTAATAGGATTAAAGGGACGCAAACAGCCAATCACAACCCTCAAACAGAACTATATACGCCATGTTCCACTGGGGATTGGCTCTTCCTCGAACTCGCACTGATGATGCTGCCTAGCTTGGCTACGAAACGTCTGCGAACAACACTTCCTGTTGGGAGAACTCACCAACATCAACATCCGCATCTCGAGCTACAATCATTTCACATCATTTCAAATGTTTCTTGTATGTTTAAACTTAATAGTTCATGTCCCACTTGACTGCATTTTTCAGAGCTAACTTTACTATTTCCTTATTTGCTTAAATTTTTTCGCATAGTTTTTGGTTTTAATTTCAGTACCCTTATGTTTGCTGCACACGTAGTTCGCTAGACTTACTGATTTTGTTCTAAACCAAGTTACTACACAGGGTGGTTTTCTTTTCTTTTTTCTTTTCATTTTAATTTCTCTTATTGAATATGCAAAGATACCATTTTCAGGAAGGGGAAGCAGCCAAGCAAAAGGCTTCCATTCAACACACATTAGGGAAAACTAGGCGGTGCTGGTGGGATTCGGACACACAGTCCCGAGGTTATGATTTAAAGACGTTACCCACTGGTGAGCAAATTGAAAATTCGTTGGAATGAAGACTCATTTTGTGTTTGGAATCGTATACCGACAAAGTTAGCACAAGGAACACAAACGTTGGACCCTAAAGTCAGGGCCTCAACTGGTAGTGGATGACGGGTAGTATTCGATAAATTTTCTCAAACCTGTCCGTAATTGCTGGGAATTGTTCAGCCAGCCAGAAAGGTGTACGGGATTTTATCAGTTAATTGCTAATTCCTAGATCCCTCTTTGCAGTTTTAAATGATGGATGAAGTTGCAAAACTTAATTCTACGGTCATGCGTAATTCAGAATTCTGTTTGACTGAGGCTTCCGGTTAAGATTTTGTCACACACCACATTCTCGGAACGAAACCCACTAAAGGCTGGGCGATTGTTGCCGTTAGTCAAAGCCTTTCCTGTGTCTAATCAAAGTGTGATTGATTACTTTGTTTTGGTGTCAAAATTCCGTCCTTGTTCTGATAGACTTTCCACAGACATATCCGTACACCACTGGAGGAACAGTTGAATTCAATTTTTGCGGTGATGATACTTGATCTTGTGAAATTTCTAAATGGACCTAAATGTTTAATGTTTACTAAATCTTGATACGAACTTCGAAGTAAAGTTTTGCTCGTTCAGCCTAATTCATCTGCTTGCACAAGATGGAAGGCCTATATGAATGATCCTCGGCGATTATGCAGCTCCTTTGCTGAAAGTTCAGTTGATCTTTTGCCTAATTTTGGAAAAGAAAATAAATATGGTTCAAGGTTAATTTCCGGTGGTACCACGGTACATTCGATAGAATACATGTCTAGTTTATCATATTTAATAGACTGAATGTCATAAGAGGTGGACTAGCTGACCCAACAACACCAAAAATGTTTTCAAAAAGCCTCGAATGTTTTCATCTTTTACCTTTGTTTTCCCTCATAGTCCATGACATGCGTTTTGCCTACACAGTGGGCTCTTCGCCCGTTCCGTTTGCAACTGCGAAAGACTGTTTTGGTTCAACCACTTGTCCTCAGGTAAGTACAGGACGCGCATATTTGATTGAAAAACCCGAGCAAATGTGTGGATTTCACCCTTTTCCTTATATGAAATGCATTTTCTGTGTTTCTATAAAAGACTTCCTGATACAAAAATGGTTATTGCAGTCGAAGCAACCAACCGCTATTGACGCTTATTTAACCTTTCACGATTAGCCGCTGAAAATGAGTGAAACTTTCATTTATTACGGTTGCTTGCGAATGCTCCATCTAGAAAAACTCTTCTTCCACCGCCTACCATGACTGACAGGAATAATTTTCGGCCTACAGAAAAAAATCATTCAATTCCCTAAACCAATTTCGTCACCATTCCGTAGTTAGAATCAAAAGTCCTTGATGAGTCAAATTCACGGTGAATGAATCGGTAGTTTCAAGGCTCGCAAGGTTAGAAAATTGAAAAAAAAATCACGGGAATATATTGCATTTTCTAGTGAATAATCAAACTAAACTTGTTTGATTAGCTCCACGACATGTTTTCATTTAACCTGTGAGGTCCATGGATGCGCACATTGCGAGAACTTTGCTGGCTTTCTATCTTCTTCATTCGGATAAATTATGTCTTATAGAAAAATGAATTTCTGACCAGACTGAAAGTTTCCTTCAGTACTCACTTATAAATATTTTCTTTCTAATTGCCAACAATCCTTACCTCATCGAAATTGTTATTCTTTCGGAAATAGTTGAAGACTCGACCGCAGTTATCATGACACCAGCAATAATATTGTTGCTCGTTTTCATGCTTGTTGACCGACTTTAGGGATGCTTACAACATGTTGATGATATCTTTAGCTGCGCATCTTTCTCTTTATTGCCTGTTCACAAAGCTGGGCAGTTTCTTAGTAAACTCTCTGTCATCGGTTATGGGTGACGTCTCCCAAACGTCGCATGTGTTGGTCTTTTACTCCAGGTGGTTCACCTATACGACAGTTTAGTCCATTATTCTGATTGTTCCTATTTGCGTACGGCTAACTCCTCCGCTTCCAGATATCCCTTGACATTTTCCTTCAGGAAAGACATATTCACATTAGGACTTTCTGGGAAGCTTTGGGTAATGAATAAACTTCGTCAATTTACTATGGAATTCAGTTTTTAATAAAAACCAAGAATTAAACAACAGGAAAAAATTTCAACATAACTCACTATTTTTCTGTTTTTTCTCAGTTTCCATAGCCTAGTAGAACAGTTTAATTCTTCTCCCACTGTTATTTCAGACATGATTTAAAATAGGTAAATGAATGAACGATATCCCACTTCACATTGCCTATCATCTGTTACCAACCAATTAACCAATCAAACAATCAATCATTCCAATACCATCAATCATTCAATCTCGAATCGATTGAAATAAATACGAACTATTACGTCTGAAACCACCTCAAATACGCAAGAAACAATAATAAAAAGCTTCACACCACGCTGGACACCTGATGCATTGACATACTACATAAATTCACAAGAAAATATATGCGAAAGCAATTCCAAATAAACTGACTGTTCGCCGTCTTGTATTTGTGTAACTTGTGTGACCTTATATGCCTACATTTCAGTTAAATATGTACATTGTTGGTAATCAAGAAAAGATTGCAGTGTATTATAACCGTATCTATTTTTTTATTCTTCTGGACCATCGTTTACAATATGAAAGAGGAACATATGAAAAGTATTCTTCCTTCGAGAGAGCACCTTGAACGGAAACCCCAAGCTGATCGTTTCTAATATCATGTGATTCTTCAAATAACTACTGACAGCCACTTCAGTAGTTCAACGAAATCTCGAAAGTAGTAGGTAGTTTTAAGAAGATATATGATCAGTAATTGTTTCTTCACGGCATGACGATAAAAACAGTGTGATCTATGATGAATTGTTCTCAGTGATGAACGTGAGTGCCAGTGGTTGCGTTTTGTGATGTTCCAAATGCGAAACTATCTGGGTTTTCAATTGTATCGCCATAGTACTCGGAAGATCCCGTTCATATGATTAGCAAACAATAAAGATTTGATCACCGCTACCAAAATGATCGCAGATAACATGGAGTGAAAGGAAGTCACCAGTGATGAGCATGCTGACTAGCTAGGCAATCAGAAAAAAACTCTAAGTAGTTAAAGGTTTACCCTTTTCTTTATTTTTGGGAATAAACGCCGGTAACCGATTGACTAATTCACAGAGGGGACAGATGTGCTCTCTAACGTCTGGATCTCAAGCAGGCTGTTATTTCTTTGAGCATGAGAAGAGAGTTCTATCTAATCAGTCATTCAAATAGAATATTAACAGCCAGGTTCACTGCATTCATCATTTAGAAAACAGCATAAAGTGGAATGAGTTTAGCTCAGCATGCGGATGTTGGTGTTAGTGAAATGTCCGAGCCTAAGATGCTGCTTAGCCTGGCCACGGAACGTCTGCGAACATTACTTCCAGCTGAGAGAGCTCACAAACATCAGCATCATTATTTGTATACATATTAAAAACAAAGCTGGTAAAAACTGAACACGCCGGAGGCAAGGTTGGATTTGGGGCTGCAAACTACAACCAGGCATCTGATGCCTAAACCCCGATATTATATGTATATACGCATAATCTTCCCGTATTGACAACAACCAACCTGTCTTTTGTTTGCCAGCATTTTATTTTCTTTTAATTTATATGATGGACGGCAGTTTGAAGCCCCAAAGTAACGGTAACTTACTGGTTACGCATTGAATCGGGGCATATTACCTTCAGAAAGTGAAATGACTCATTTCATAAGGCCCCTCCAGTATAAGTGTGGTGTTTAAGACTGCTCGGTACCAAAGTTGTAACGGGGTGCACATTTCAAATCCTAGGGTGTGAAGCATACTGGTGAGTACCATTCAAATTCCATGGTCAATAGGACCATCCAAAGTAAACAGATAAACAAGAAATTCCAAGACTGATGATCCACTTTGATTTTGCATTTAATCTAAGAAGATGTCGTCCCGTTCCCCGTGGCTAGTCTATCATTTTAAATTTTAAATTGGTCAATAAATTGGAATAACATGTTTTTTGTGCACCAAGGCAACAAGATTTTCAGCCTGAGAACCCAACGTGTTTGGAGTGAACTGAGACGTTAGCAAATTTAAGTTTGTTTTCCACTTTCAAATCTTTAGAACTGTCGACAGAAGCAACCGCATCACGGTGCCTGCATACTATCTAACTAGTTTCTATGATAGAACCCAAAACCCAACAGTACCGGCTTGGGTGCAATTCCATCCTTGGAGACCGTGAGCCTCACGGTTATGTCTCTACTACAGTCTCACAAGTCCACAACTGTTCTACCTGACAAATAGTTTTCTTGTTTCTCCTCTACTGTTTTATTACTATTTATTGCTAACCAAACAAATAAATGGGTGTGGGAACCCCCGAAAAGAGATAGTATTTTCGAAATATGGTTGGTTTTGTTGAACTTTTTGTGATACCAAACTCCTTCACAAGTTTTTTTTCTCAGTTGCATTTGCAACTCGAAGCCTTATCTGAATGAGAAATTCAAATAAATAACATTTTTAAGTCTATTTATTTTTTTATTTTTATTTAATAAATACACAAACGTACAGTTAAAATTCAGGAAGAGGGCTGCGGTCAGACAGGCTGCCTGGGGAAATACAGAAATAGGCAAGACGGACAATGGTGGAGCGGTTCGAACCCGGGACTTCCGGGTCACAACTTGGTGACCTAACCACATGGACATATTTGCAACTTATAACATTTGGTGTACCCACCAAAACCAACATTTGCATAGATTGGTTAATCCAATATGTAATCTTGGGTCCTGATCACTTTTTGTTATCGGTGGGTAAAAGGGTGTTTTCATCGCATACTACAAAATGAACTTCAAGTTTAGTCCAACAGTCTTATGGGTAGTTACATCAAAGTTAATTTAAATTTTCGGCTTGAATACGACACAATACGAAATCGGTAGAGCATGACAGCATGAGTATTTCCAGTATTTTGCTCAGAACCACTCAAGATATGTTGCCTTTAGATCACACACTTCTTCATTTCCGTTTGCAATCGGACTGCACTCAGGGCATACATTTAGCGGATTTTGCTAGATAAATTCATCCAGTAGGTGAACGGTTCATGCAATGATTGATTTCAATTCTTTGCTGTGGTAACTTTAGGCTTCAAGGTTTGACTTATGCGGTCGAGGTAAATTCTACAAAGTTCACTAAAAGTTCAGTTTATTGTGTATTGTGTATTATGTATAACTTTTACAAGCAACTGGAGCTCACATTTCAGTTAAAAAGCATACACGCTAACCGTCACAATGTACATAATCAGCGAGGAGAAAAGTTTTCGCCTGCATGGAGACATTCATAATCCAAGGTTAAGACAAAGTTCACTCATTGTTCGCTCTTTGTTTGTGAGTAGAC